GTGTCCGACAGGTGTACGGCTGGGAACCGGCGCGTACTTACGATACGCTGATCATGGGTTGGGGCAAAATCAGTGATTTGTCTGTTTGCGATTCGCAACTCATTGCCGGCGGGTTTTCGTTGACAAACGTTTCTGTATATGCGGTGGACTTGAAAAAAGTACAGCCGTTTGGGAACGCGATTCCATCCAAACAACAGATCTATTCGAGAGACAGCCCCTCCAGGTTTGAGTGCTTTTTTGTTTGCGAACAAACATTTCTAATGAAACTAATTATCATTTTTGTTAACTCCATCGATGTATTGCTTACTATAAACCCGTGATATAAATGTTATTTATGTTGAATCTCTCGTCCCCTGCAGACAAAGCACACGAAGAAACTTTGTTTTGGGCCAAACAAGTACTTCTCATTTGCAACTCGAGTATGTCTTATAATTGCTATTCTTTTATGTTTTAATGTTATTTATGTTGAATCTCTCGTCCCCTGCAGACAAAGCACACGAAGAAACTTTGTTTTGGGCCAAACAAGTACTTCTCATTTGCAACTCGAGTATGTCTTATAATTGCTATTCTTTTATGTTTCATTTCATTTAAAACAATATTTTTCTTTTGTTATTTAAAAATATAAAAATCAAATACACAATAGATTCACAATAAATAAGATATTGAGGCCAACACTCAATTCATGATAAATACTTGAAAAAACATTTTTCGTGATTTTAGTCAGAATATCAGTCATTATTCTTATAAAATACTAGAAATAACTAAAAGGTTTTCATTTAAAATATCAATTTATTTGTTTTTTCTTGCTTTAAATAAATTTTGTCATTTTATCTCAAAGGAGATAATAAAAATATTTATTCCCATAAATTTTTATCTAATTTTTTTTGAAATTTCTTTTTATTTGTATTCTTTTACCTTTCAATTACAATCATAACCACAGCTTTCTTTCCTTTACTCCACTTTCAGTCCATTATTCTTGACTCGAGTGATAACCTATGCTCTCATTTCTCTCACTGTTTTGTGTATTTGTTACGAAAAGGCGTAAAAAATTTAATTAAAGATTATATGATTTGGGTTTTGTTTTCACATTTTGTTTTCATAAATTTAATAATCAATTAAAATAATTGCAATGTTTTAATGAAATGACAGGTCATTAGAATCTAACCGAAGCGATGAGGCGGAGACGGGAACGTCCGACGGCGACGAGTCATCCCTCGCAGAGATTATGAATATCGGAGACCATAGAGAGATCTTTCAGTCTAGAAGAGAGTGTAAGCCTCGTCTGACCCGTTAGTTGTTCTTTCACTTTACCTATTCTTCACAACTAACACATACTTTTCGTTTTCACACATATGTTTTTGTTATTGATTTGATGTTATTTTATTTGATTTTTAATTCGTGTCATTGTTTTATGATTTGAATGGATCCACAGTATGCCGAACCCCTCCCAAAGTGATTCCATTTATTCCAAATGACTTAATTTCTGGTCCTTTTTGCACCGGTAGGCACTCAATGCACACACAAACAAGTGATACAAATAATACATGTTTAAAATAACATTGCTATTGATTTACGACAGATTTACAACGAAAACATAGCGATCCTAACCTAGCGGTCAGTTCGTCGCCTTACGGGCCGTTCTCCCAAATAAACCGATCGCAACAATCGCTGGTCAACAGCAGATCGTTAGCGGAATTGGCGTTTATTCCAACGCTGGCGCCAGAGGTGCCGACTCATCCGCTCAAGTCATCTTTCAGAGAACCGCTTCCATCGATTCCACATCAGTTGCAACCATTGAAACCACTGAATCCCACCCCCAATAACACCAATAGTTTCGTTAAGTCTACGTCTGCCACAGCACTTAACCACTTGTCTCACAACCCGATCGGCCATTCCATCAACATTTCCAATAACAACAATAATAACCATTCCGTCAATAATTCCTTCATTACAAACCATAATAACCATCGGATCACAAATTTAGTGCATCCGCGGCCATCGGAAACTGTATCTGTTGTACGGCCTGTGGTTAACGACAACTGTAAGACCGCCAGCGCTTCAATTCTCAGTACAAATGGAGTCCACTCTCAACAAAAGGCTGCCATTGTTTTCCCCGAAACACGATCTCCTCCGACGCCAATGGACGGGCCGTTGGAATTAATTCCCGAGACTCGTGACCAACCGGCGGGACTCGATTTGGATGAATTTTTGCCCAAACATCTTCAGGACACTATGCGATTGGGTATTCATCCGCAGCCGGAAATGTCAGAGTCTGAGGCCATGTCCGCCATAATGAGAGGACACAAATCAATAGTCACTGTATTATCTCATCGACGAAAGAACATGTGTATAATACTGGCGATGTGGAGCTCTAAGGACTCACGCAATGCATTGGAACAGGCAATCCATATGGAGGACCAGTCCGTCATTGTCGACATTCTCAATGTCATCACTTTGAAGCCGTTAGTTATCACACATTCGTTCACTAATCAAATCAATTGTCATCTAATTTTACTATTGGTTTGTTTTGTAGAGCTGTATGGACTCTAGACATGTGTCAAATTCTTCTTCCATGTATTCAAGATCTCCTTCAGAGTAAATACGAAAGGTTTGTACCAATTATATCATACATTCTTACTGACTATCATTTTAGTTATAAATATATGCTTATAATAGTTAACCTATTATTACCTGTTATTTGTTTTAAATTGTATTGTTAAAAGTTAAAATTGTTGTAAGTAAAAAGTTGTATGGTTAGCTTTATAAATTGAAATGAATATCACATTTTGAATTGTGTGAATGCAATGCCAATAGAGGTCTCTACAAGTTTTAAAGAATCGATATTTGATTGAATCCGGTTTTCACATGAATTCAATTCATTATTATAATAACCAATAATGAAATTAAAATATTGGTTTGTACTTAATTTACATTTGATTAATGAATTGCATATAAATGGCACATTTGATGGCATTGTTATTATTGGCTTTTCAACTATATTTTAGGTTATGTTTATTATGATTTTGAAGTTTTTTATAAATTAGGTTTATACTCTATGACATAATCATAATTTAGTTTTAACATGATCATATTATGTGTTGTGACTAGATATTTGAATTGGTGTCAACACAATCTGAGCATATAGAATTTATATGATAAATAAAATGATAATTGCCAAATACTCCAGCAATACTTAATCGATTGATTCTGTACTTTATTCTCATAAATAAGCATAGAGTTAGTGAATCATATAATTAGCGGAATTTGTCATAATTGGCATACTATGCATGATATAGCTATTCATTGATTTGTTGCCATCATATATGAAATGTATGTTTTTTTGTAAATATATTATGGTCTTATTATTATGTTTATATTAGATGCCCATTATTTTTGTTATCAATTGATGTAGGGTGTCCTCAACTTTAGGCTTTTAATTGTTACCGTTTTTTTGTTTTGCTGCAAAATATGTTTATAATATTACAATTCTATGATAAATATTTTGTTGATATAGTTTTGCTCATAAAAGACAATATTCAGCAAAATATTTAATTTAAAAATTATTTACAAATTAAATTTTTGTTTTGCTGCAAAATATGTTTATAATATTACAATTCTATGATAAATATTTTGTTGATATAGTTTTGCTCATAAAAGACAATATTCAGCAAAATATTTAATTTAAAAATTATTTACAAATTAAAGATAAGTTGAAGTAAGAAATGTTTGCATTGAAGAAATGTCACACAAATTCTGTTAGATTCTAGAGTGGATTCAGTGTTGAAAGAAATTAAATACTGAGTATTATTTGTTTAATAAGTTTTTTGCAAAATGTATAGATTTGAATGGTTTACCGAACGANGTTGAAGTAAGAAATGTTTGCATTGAAGAAATGTCACACAAATTCTGTTAGATTCTAGAGTGGATTCAGTGTTGAAAGAAATTAAATACTGAGTATTATTTGTTTAATAAGTTTTTTGCAAAATGTATAGATTTGAATGGTTTACCGAACGAAATGTTGTATAATTGAAATTATAGGCCAAAAGTGAGTTTTGTTGTAGACATTGGCAGCTGACAAGTCTGTGCTGATGATCAGTGACTGCTTTTGCTTATATTGTGTTGAGTATTGCATGCATTATAAGATTGAGATCTTTTACCTGTTCTGTATGGGCGCTGTTGGGCTCCTCAACGACTCAATGCCATAATAAATGAAATCATAATATATTTTACAATAATATTTTGAGTACAATATCTATAATAAAAATAGTATAATAAATGGACAGAAATGGGAGAGAGAATAGTTAGGTAGTAGTGAGTTGTCTGGACTGGCGTTGAACGATAGTCGATGGTATAGTTGGCATATACTATACGGGAATAGACCTCCCAGTTATGTATTGAAAGAGAAGTAGTGAACCGTAACAAAGAGCTCGACTGGCAATGGGCTAACTTGTGAGCAAAAATAACTGAAAACTCAATAAATCTTCTCATTTGATTGTTAAATACTATGATCTGATTTGAGACTCATTTTTGCATAAGTTTTCAAAAGTCGAGAAATGCAAAAAATAAAGTATAAGTGTGTAGACGTGAGCGATACTTTCTCACGCATATTGGGCCCAAACAATGGCCAAACATGTCTTTTCTGGTGTTGTGCCCAAACGGGCGCAAAACTACATCAATATATTTGCAAAAAGAAGAACATTTTTGCCATTTTTCTCTTGTATATTTTTTTGGTTGAAAACAGATCTTTTCATATTAAATATGTATATATCTTAGAATTTGATCGTAAAATCGCTATCGTATGGCAGAGAGAGAGAGAGAGAGAGAGAGAGAGAGAGAGAATGTGTTGTATATTTTTTTGGTTGAAAACAGATCTTTTCATATTAAATATGTATATATCTTAGAATTTGATCGTAAAATCGCTATCGTATGGCAGAGAGAGAGAGAGAGAGAGAGAGAGAGAGAGAGAATGCATTTGTTTTTTGTGTTCACGTAATGCTTGGTTTAGGGGTCTATAAGATGGGTATGTGATGGTAGAGCACTTAGATTAAGAAAATTGCGGCAATTATTTGGAAACAAATTATGGGTTGAGGCGAACGAGCAATAAATCAGTCGACAGTATCTCTTGCGGGTGTGTTTGTATGCATGCATTGAAATATATAAATATGTTTTCATATCAAATATAATAAATGACATCAATTTATCAATAAATTTATTCACATTTTTAATGCTTACAAGAATGGGTTGTAAGGGTTTAACAAACTTATAAACATTTGCGGTTAAACATTGGATACTTGATTCTCATCTCGCCATCGATTAATTCATTGTTCATTAAATTGTTTTTTCTTCTTTCCTTAGATTGTTCTCAATTTTTCTCAATAAGAAATTAAAGCAATAATTCTTGAGATAATTTATACGAAAGAATGTCTATAATATGTGTGTAATGTTTTTGAATGGCAATAAACGGTGTGTATTGGCGTTATATAATGTAGGGCTCCATATAATTACTCGTTGGGGTAGTCTTACAGCGCTGTTGACAGTTAAGAGTCGCTATTAAATGCATTATAAACGCCATATGGAATCGGAGCGGTGGTGAGCGCACCGGCATATTGTCAGACCATTCTCTCTCTCTCTCTCTCTCTCTCTCTCTCTCTCTGCCATACGATAGCGATTTTACGATCAAATTCTAAGATATATACATATTTAATATGAAAAGATCTGTTTTCAACCAAAAAAATATACAACTGTTTCCAAATAATTGCCGCAATTTTCTTAATCTAAGTGCTCTACCATCACATACCCATCTTATAGACCCCTAAACCAAGCATTACGTGAACACAAAAAACAAATGCATTCTCTCTCTCTCTCTCTCTTTCTTTCTTCTATGTGCCAATTGATATGCCAGGACTCGAATCTCATTTTATCAACACTAATAACAGTGGAAACCCTCTATTTTATTGAAAGCCCTTTATTAGAATTTTTGAGTTTTTTTTACAATTTTCTTCTTCGTAAGAGCTCTTCACTAGTGATGTACAGAATATATGAGTGGAAAACGTTTAGCTTTAAAATGATAAATAGATGCCATAGTAGGCGGTCTGAAGACCAAAACGCTTTCACATATTTCCGGAGGTATTGAAACACTTGTTTCACCAAAAAAACTAAAAAAGTTTGCATTCACTCCACCCCTCATTTGACTAACACTTAATGATTATATAAGTCTGCGTTTATATCAAAGTGTATGTAATATAAGTTACAATTAAAATAATTCATTATAAACTACTATAATATAAGGTTTGAATGCATTGCATATTCCCTCTTATCGTTTGTTGTAAAAAAAAGCTTTGGCTGGTTTTTGGCAATTTGGTTATCCGCTAACATTGTGTGCCACCAATACTAGAGCCCAAATTGACGGCCAGAATGTTGACTATAAGCATATATTTTAAACTATAAGTTTTAACTACAATGATTACAGTGAATATGTGTTTATGATAAATAATGATTGTTTGTCTCATATTTAATGTGTTTTTATAGCTACATGTCTGTGGGATGCGCTGCCCTGAAATTAATACTAAAACAATTTGCGCCGACAATCAAGACCAACATAACAGCGCCGCCAGGAATTGGTGTCGATATATCCAGAGAGGAGAGGTATGTATGCATTCAATGCGAGTGTAAATCTACTTGATTTCAAAACAAATGTCTTTTTATTCTTGTAATTCTTAACATTATATTTATAATGAGTTTTAATTCAAACATTAGTGGTCTTTGTTGAGCCCCATTAGCAGACATTTATTGCTACTTATGGCTCTCCTGTGCTCTAACAACTGCTCTCCTGTTTAGTATTTTGATAGATATCTCTAAATATAATGAATACACTGTTGTGAATGGCATTTACACAGTATTCCCGATAACTTAAACCAGTCTTCAATTACACGAAACCTTATTATTAAATAAAATAAATTTCAATTATTATGATTGCCTTAAATTTTGATAGCAATTGCATGGCTTTCGGAGGCTCTCTATCTTGTTGTTAAACGTATTCACTTGTGTTCACCACAAGATTTATACCAATAAATTAAGGGTTTTAAGGCATGCCTTCAAAACGAGACCCGCATTTCTCGACGAATCTTATACTTATGTTTTATTTATATATTTTATGCACCAAAATGAGAGAACCGGCTGAGAAAAGGGTGCAAACACTCTAACCATAACCATACCATATAATCATATATTTTATTGCAAATTCCTTCAAGTGATTCATAATAATAATAACATTTTAATTTCAGCTTAACATTAGCCCTAAGTTTTTGTTGTTTTTTTGCAGACTTTGTTAGAAAATATAAATATAAGCGGACTATTGTGTGTGTGTTTCTCGTGTTCAACAGTTTTTATTATTATATTTAAATACAATTTATTTTCTCTACCTTTTAATCATTGATATTTGAGTTTTCGCTTCTAAACTCACTCTTGAAAACACTGAATGTTTTATTTATTTATATTTTCAATTCACATATAAATCAATCCTTTGGTTTCGTTTTTATTGTCTAAACCCGTAGTTTGTCTGTTGACCACAATTCCCATTCTTAACCACTAATTGTTGCGTGAATTGTAATTACAAAGAGTTAGACAAACGTTTCGGCGCCTAAACCTTTGCCTTCATAGTTGTGTCTGCATTTGAAAGTGATTTCTATTTTGTTAAATGATTCAAACGAATTGGTAATTGTTTTACTCTTTTCTTGTCTCTCTTAACAATATATTGTTTTACAAACAAATTATAGGAATTAAACTATTCTTAAAATTGCTTTTTATATTAGTTTTTTTGTTTACTCCACACAATTACAAACCATAATAGAAAGCGATTTTAATTTACTTTTCTGTCATATAAGAGCTTATTCTTTAAAACAGCGTTTTTGAGGTTTTTTTGTTGTGAAGTGAAAAAATGTAAGGAATGCTATAAAATGTTATCAAAACTTCTTTTCAAATGTTTCCCATTTTTCTCTAACGATTTGCGAACAAATAGTTTCTCTCTCTTGTATTCCTTCAGAAAAAAGTCAAAACATTTTGAGAAATTCACTTTCATTTGTTGTGTTTGTTTGCGCTGACAGTTATGGCCCACACGTGCTAACTCTGCGACACAAATATTTCAATATTAGATCTCCTTTTCATATATTATATAAAGAATTTCACGAAATATTTTTAGTATTGACTCTAAAAAACATAATTTATTATTAAAATTTTGACAATTTTGCTGTATTTATATATATTTGTTTGCTTTTTATTTACAGATACAATAAGTGTATGAGTTGTTACAATCACTTGCTATCCGTACGAGCTTTCATACTAAAGCGTCAAACACTTCAGGGAAAACTCGGCCGATCTTTTCGTGAACTCTCTATTCTGATGCAAAATCTCGAATAATTGATGCAAACAATCGATGAATACATTTATTAGCCGACATTTTTTGATATATCAAACCTATATTTTATTAATAATATGTCTTATCGACCAAAAGCTCATTGCATGGAGAATCGGATCCGTCCCTCGACTTTCAGTTCACGCATTGTATTTCCAATGGATTAGTGTTAGTGTTATTTTGGGGAATAACGTGTGTTTTAATGTGATATATGCACAACAATTATGATGAGAATTAATTGTGAGTTTGTAATTAACGACTTTTCAGTACTTAATGGCCTTAGACTGCCATTTAGTGCCATTCATTGCCATTATATTTGAACATTGGTCTCATTCGTCAACCAATCCATTGATCTAATCATTTAGAAGCAAATATTATACTAATTTATGATTTCATTATTTTATAATATAATACAATACTATAACGCTTTATGCCTGAAAATTGTTTACAACAAATGATATATATCTATGAATTCAATCTTTTAATAAGAAAAAAGTCAAATGCATGTCATTTTGTTACACAATTGTAATGAAAAATTTGTTGCCTTTACTTATTTAAGAGTATTTAGAGAGAATTTTAACTCATTTTAAATTTACTGAATAGACTATTAGGGGAATCAAAACCAAAGCATTTGTGAGATTTATTTTTGTCAAATGGATTGCGAAGTGTTGAGTAAATTACTGTCACTTATCTTATAAATTAATTGAGTTTTAATTATTAGCAAATTAGTAACAATTTATTTGTATGCATATATCGTGTTACTCTATTTTGTCTCATTGCAAGTGATAATTAAATGTATTCATAATTAAAACTAATTTTTTACAAGTTTTAATTTACTCAATAGTTTGTAATCCAATTTGATATGAATGGCTTGTTTTATCGGATTTTATATTAGATTTTATTATAATATAATCGAATTACTATTAAATGAGATTTACTATTAAATAATTGTGTAATAAAACGATATTTAGGATTATATAAAAGCGGTTACATTTTTAAAAAGTTAACTAATATTATATATGTTTGTAATAAAAATTAAACTTATTTATTAACTTTTTATCATTCATTCAATTTTATAAACGATATAATTCTTTCTCAATTAAAATCATTGTATTTTTCAATTAAATGTTGTTATTATTTCTTCTTATTATTATTTATGAATATATAATAAATTTTATGAAACAATTTATTGAATTAAAGGCATTGCATAACACATAACAGCAAAAAACACGATTTAATGGCCAGTGTTTTTGTTTTGTTTGTTTTAATTGCAAATAATATGCTATAAAATATGGTTAAATGCCTGGAGAGTCACATCAATTCAGTCGACATTAGGGTTTCCAACCCTTCATTAATCAAAAACATTTTCGTTTTGTTTTGATTATCAATATATTTCGTAAATAAATATATAAATTGAGTTCAGAAAAAGAGGTTTTCCTCTGCAGTGGAAATAAAAGCAAAAGCAAATTGATTTCAATCAATTGATTGGTATGTTTTGTTGTGTATCGTCTAATTGAGTACACCTGGCATTAGGCCCGACAACAGGTTGTTTGTAGAGTCAAAAAGCCTATCAATACATACATAGCGTTGATTGCTATCCAAATGATGAGGCGATTCGTTATATTTGGCAACAATGGCCTGAAAAGCAATCATTTATGGGATTATACGCTACTATTTGCTAATAATGTGCAATAGTATTGGGTTTTAACTCATACTGTATTTGCTTTTTATTATATATATTTGGCTAACAATTGGATAAATGGGTAAAACTATTATTCAAGAGTAAAGCACTCGATAATCGTGTAGCGATTGAATGTCAGGTAATGTAAGCAAATATTTGGTCCCAATGTGTCACTCGTGATATCCAATTGTCACGCCTTCCCCCAAGAGGTGCGACAGAACCGGGGGTTTGAGTTTTGACTCCTCTTTCACTGCCAGTCAACAGATCCGCACTGTTTTGGCGACCTTTGACCGCTCGGCGAGCACTCAAACCCTCACCTGTTATGCCATTTCGTATGACTTTTACGGCAATTCTGCATACATTTCAGTTCCGATGTGTTTATTGAGACGTTAAATGGTTTGACAAATTGCCTCAAAGATGTCCCGATAACGACACCCAGTCTTCACTACATATTATATATTCTTTTCTTTATTTCTTTATATTTCATGCAATTTATTCAATACATCTGTTTATTAAAGAATTTCTTTCTATTAATTCGTTTTCATTTCCATTTGTTGTCATAAATTCTTAACATTTTTTGGAAACCTTTGAGGCATTGGATTATGGATTATATACACTATTTTGCATCAATAATATTAATATAATATATACTTTCTTTAATAATAATAATAAAAGTCTTATGAATCACATCCACTGATATGTGTTAGCATTTGTAACATATATTATATTATATTATATATAAGTATAATATTTATTAGAAAACAAGTTTTCAATTGTAAACGACTGGCAGAAGTGCCGTTTCTATGATAATAACGATGTAATCACATATGATTTGCTATAATTTAGGAATCATGAACACAAACTACTAGTACTACACCTGTAAAAGATATATCTTTATACCCAATGCTTTGCAAACAACGCAAAGGTAACTAACTGTGTGTCTGTGTGTCTGACTTATGATCGCCGATCGGCTCATGTATTATAAGCTTTGAATTTTGTTACAAACAAACATAAAAAGTGCTTCACATCAGGGAATGACAGATAAATTGCACCGAAATCAGCGTTTTTTAAGCTCAGAAAATTGACTCAAATAAAGAAATAAAAATTATTTTATTATGTAATAGATATATACTATACATATAAATGTGAATAGAGTTTCGACACGACATGGGAATCGGAGGAGACAACAGAAATTGCCGCCAATTTTCATATTAAATTCAAGCTATGATTTAATTTTGCGATTGGATTGAGTCGTCAGAAGTCAATCATAGAAAAACTTTTCATTCAATGTTTTTTCCACTCATTTTTCCTCTCATTTTCTGTTCTGCTTTTTTAATGCAAATAATTGAGAGAACATCTCATCCCTATTGTTGTCTCAATTCATGGGAAGTCTTCCTAATTATGTTAAATATAATTTTTTTT